ACATCATTTAAGCTGTCAGCATGTTTCGAAATGGATTCCCTGCTGACCCCAGCGGACGCCAAGGCTGCCACTGCTAGGGCCCTGGGCTGGGACACGGTGGAGTAGGGAGGGCCCTCGTCCCCCCTGCCACCTCCATATTGGGTGGCAGTCTGCCCCTTCCCACTTGTGCTGTGAAAACAGTTAGGTTGCCTGCCCCACTCTCATCATTTAAGCTGTCAGCATGTTTCGAAATGGATTCCCTGCTGACCCCAGCGGACGCCAAGGCTGCCACTGCTAGGGCCCTGGGCTGGGACACGGTGGAGTAGGGAGGGCCCTCGTCCCCCCTGCCACCTCCATATTGGGTGGCAGTCTGCCCCTTCCCACTTGTGCTGTGAAAACAGTTAGGTTGCCTGCCCCACTCTGAACCAGGGCCAATGCCACGATTTGACTTGGAGAGCTGTTTGTTTGCCGGCCTGCCTTCAGGCCCCTGGTCTTAAAAGGGCTGCTGGGCCAGGGAGTACAGGCCTGAGCACTGGGCAGGGCCGAACTCTTACAGGGTCTAGTAAGGATCTACTAAATTGACTGTTGATAGTGCCCCTGTCAACCCTGGTATGCCATGAGGTTGCTAGGAGTAAGGAAAGTCGACGGGAGAGTTTCTCCCGTCGACTTCCCACAGTGGGGATGCCATAGAAAGCCGAACTAAGGTACCTTGACTCCAGCTACACTATTTTCATAGCTGGAGCTGTGTATCTTAGTTTCACTTTCTCACATAGCGTAGACCTGGCCTCAAGTGAGGTTAATACTGAGATGCAAATAAATGGGGTTGATTAAAAATGCCCAAGGTTTTCCCCCTCCAACAGCTATAGTGTCCTCAGTTTTGCCATTTGGAACAGAGATTTGATGTTCCCTTTGATTTGGTGATAAGGAGATACCAACCCACAGACTGAGTCCATCTTTCAGGGTTGTTCCCCACTCTGGTACTCAGGGTACGTCTACACTACGTGGCTCCATCGACGGAGCCATGTAGATTTGTTTATTGGGCAAAGGGAAATGAAGCGGCGATTTAAATAATTTCCACTTCATTTAAATTTACATAGCTGCTGCGCTGAGCCGACAAACAGCTGATCAGCTGTTTGTCCGCTCAGCACGCTAATCTGGACGCTCCCCTGCCGACATCAAAGCCCTTTGTCGACCGCCCTGGTAAACCTCATCCCACGAGGAATAACGGGGCAGTTGACAAAGGGCTTTGATGTCGGCAGGGGAGCGTCCAGACTAGCGCACTGAGTAGACAAACAGCGAAACAGCTGGTTTGCGGGTC